TCGTTACCAACAATTAAAAAAACATAAAATTTGCAAAAAATGAAATAATAATAGGTTTATTGAATATATAACGTCTTTTGTGTCATAATAAATCATAAAATGAATAATTTATAACCGGCAATTAAGAAAGTTCATAATAGTTTTTTCCCAAGAATCTGCCGTAACCACAAAGACAAGTTATTTTTTTATTTTTATTGGATAGGAAATTAATAATTCATTTGAAAGCTGTGGTTTTTCTGCTATAAAATATTGAATAACATTTTCATTTTGTTAAACTAAATGCAGTGATATCTTATCCACAAAAATGCCGATTAAATGAATTTTGTTAAGTGATCTACAAAATTTCACCCCATTTTTAGATAGTAATTTTCACTGATTTATAGCCAGATCTTGAATTAATTTTAATTGTAGGAATGTACCTAACATTCCTTTTCTCTTTTTTTACTTCAGAGCGTTTTTCAGACCTGGAATTTGGTGAAATGGTAGGTTGAAAAGGGAAATGTTGGTTTTTTTTCATTGTAGAAATGTACCTAATGGTCCTTTTTCTTTACTTTAGGATCATTCTTTCGGGATATGAATTCTATTGAAATGAAATAAAAACAGCCTCCTGGACAAACTTGGACTTAGAATGTAAGGAATGGGAAAGGTGAGTTTTTTTAAATATTAAAGAAACGTACTGACGTTTCTTTATCTTTATTATATTGCCAGACTCTTTAGACGAACCCGACTTTGAAATGTCAGTTGGAAAAGAGAGAGGTGATTTTTTTTTAATATTAAAGAAACGTTACTAACGTTTCTTTCTCTATTTTTTTAGATTATCAAACATTTGGGTGAACAAAACTCAGGTGGGGACTGGGAGTTTACTTCGAAGAAATGTAATCTCTTTATTATTGTAATAATTGTAATAAAATAAAAAAATATTAAGTAAAAAAAAATTACAATAATTTTTTTTTAATTACATATAAATTTATTAGACAATTTGAAATTAAAAAAAAAATGCTAAAAAATATTAGAATAGCAAAACTATAGTGAAATTCATATAAAATATTAATGCTTGTTATGCTAAAACTATGGATAAACTTAATTATAGAGGTTTCGCAAATTTTGGCAGTTTCGCAAGTTTCAGCAACTTTGCAGTTTTGCAGTTTCGCCATTATGTAAGGGGTTTCACCTTTCAGCATTAAACCAAATAGGTTTTAGCAGGCAACCTTATGCGCGATAGAGAGAGTCTTATTTTCAGTCAAAAAATAATTAAAATTTTCATAATTTTACCATCTCACATTTCTCAAGAATGTAATAATAAGTTGTAAAATCAAAATAAACTTGCCAAATGCTACAGTATAAAACCTCTATACTCAAAATTAAAAAATCTTTAAATAACTTTTAATTTTATAAAATAGCTTTACGCTCAATTTTTATTTATAATTTTTATTTAGGCTAGCATTACATTAATCTTAATTTTGGCCAATTATAATTTTGACCCTTATATTTTTTTTAAAAAGTTTTTAGTAAATAAAAAGAGTTAAATAACTCAATTAAACCAATACTATTGAATTTAATTATTTTTTTAATATTGCATAAAATTTACATATTTTCAAATTTTGATTGTTATAATAAATTAGGTAAATTAGGGAATTGCTAATATTATCGTCTGGGACTTCGATTATGTGACAGATTTAATATTTTTGATTGGCCAGATTAGCCAGTATAGGTTTTTTTAGTCTCAAAGTATTTTTCTTTATTGCTTTAGTCCAGTTCTGCAATTAAAATTCAGTTGTTTATTACTTTACGTTTTATTTTATTTCATTTTTTTTAGATATTTTAGTTCTTTCAGTTCTACAATTAATAAAAGTATATTATTTATTTTTTATTTATTTTTTTTTTATTTTATTTCTATCTTATATTTCATTCCTTATTAACTTTAATTTTTTTTACTTTATGGTTTTATTTTTTACTTGGTTTTCTATCATTACCCAACCTTCTATCATGATCATTTTTTTATTTTTTGTATTACTTCTCATTATTCCATCCTTTTGTTTCCCATTATTTTCTATTATGACTTTCATTTTCTATTATCTATTTTCTCTCCTATCTACTTCCCATCATTTCCTTTTGCCTCTCATTACTCCTTTTTGTCTCCCATCAACTCCATCACTCCTTTTTACCTCCTATCACTTTTCTTTGTCTCCCATTACTTCTTTTTACCTCCCATCACTCCTCTTCATCTTCCCATCACTCCTTTTCGTCTCCCATCACTTCTTTTCGTCCTCTATCACTAATTTTCATCTCCCATCACTCCTTATCATTTCCTATTACTTCTTTTCGTCTCTCATCACTCCTTTTTACCTCCCATCACTTCTTTTCATCTCTCATCATATTCTATTTCTCCTTTTTATTTCTCATCACTTCTCATTACTCTTTTCATCTTCTATTACTTTTTATTATTTCATTATTCCATTGTTGTTTCATTTTTTTATTAGCATCTTTCTCATTGATCATTGTAATTTACTTTTCTTTTTTATTTATTGTTATTGTTTTTTTATTTGTATCGCTTCATTAAAAATAAATACAGTAATTTTTTTCTTTAAAATCTTTAAAATCGTAATTGTGTGACTTAAATTTTAAATATTTGCAAATAAAAATAAAATTTCATTAAATAAGATTATTTTGAATAATACCAGAATGAAACTTTCAAAACTTACTGATTCAAAGTGAAAGTATCTAAAAAAAGAAATAAAAAAAATAAAAAAATTTGTTTTTAAAAAAATAAAGTTTCGAAAGAATGAAACTTTTGAAACTTACCAATCCAAAGTGAGGGTTGCCGATACCTAAAAAAAAAGAAATAAAAAAAATATTAAAAACTAAGTTCAAAACTTACTGATCTAAAGTGAAGGGTCTCAAAAAAAAATAAATAAAATTTTTTTAAAAAACAAAATTTCAAAAAATGATTTAAAACTTTACTGATCCAAAGTGAAAAGTCCTGCCGATACCTAAAAAAAAAATATTTAAAATATTTAAAAATTTTTTTAAAAAAACAAAGTTTTAAAAGAATGAAACTTTTAAAACTTTGTTGATCTAAAATGAGAGTTTTGCTGATACCTAAAAAAGAAATAAAAAAAATAAAAAAATTTTTTAAAAAACAAAGTTTCGAAAGAATAAAACTTTCAAAACTTTACCGATCTAAAGTGAAGAGTTCTAAAAAAAAAAAATAAATAAAAAAAATTTTTTTTTAAAAAAATTACTACTAACCATCTTCAATATTTTTTGGGATCACTAACAATTTTTAGTTCAGTTTCTGAATAGCATAGCAGGCTTTCTATATTATCATGTAGATTTTGCTGATCATTTTCAATTTTATCATATATTGTTATGATGCATCATATTGATTCTTTTGAACAGTTCTACATAATAATATATTCTCAAAATTTGCCAATATATTAATTTTATTATGTATTTTAAATATATTTATTTTTATTAAAAACCATTCATTATTGGTCAACTTTTATATGTAATAATTTTTAATTTAACATAATCTCTCAATTATTTTTAATATAAATGTCTTAGTAGATTAAAATTTTACATAATAAATATACCTCAAACTTTCCAATCTATAAATATCAATTTAATATATCAGTGTATAAATTTTCATTAAAATTTGAAATAAAATGAGGGACTTTAATATGTACTGTTCGCTTAAAATTAAAATCAAAAATAATTCTTATAGCAAAATTGTAAATAATTTGACATACATGTGTGCTAGAGACATAATTCTACATTTATTTGAAAGGGAAGAGTGAGGTCTATCCAATGATTAAAAATCACATAAATTGAATCACTGGTAAATGAATAATTTCGTCCAACATATTAATTTCCAATTATTATCAATATCTCCACATGTAATAATTTAAATTGAATGATCTTTAATTCCAAAATTAGTGTATATTTTCTCTTTCAAATAAATATAAATAGTTTATTTAGTATATACGAGAAATCAATGAATATATAACTACAATCAAAACCCATTAAAAAATTCAGATCATATTTCTTACTATAATAAAATAAAATCATAAGATTATTTTCATTTCATTTAAAAAATGTCATTTAAGCTTTTAGTAGAATGAAATTGATGGAACATATGAAATAACTTTGTCCTAAAAGAAAAGTGAAAAAACATATATAATTAGTTTATTAAAAAAAGGAAAAAAAATTACTCTGAAAATCCTATACCAAAAAACTCTCCCTTTATTCTGCAAAAATATTTGGTCAAAATATTTATCTTGTCGCTTTATTTTCTTTAATAGACTATTATAGAAGTAAACTTTTAAAAAGTAACAAATTATAATTATATTGAATAAGAATAAATAAAAATAATTATAAAATATAATATTACTATTTTATGCGAAACTTTAACATACTTGTAACTTCCGAATTACCTCTCCAATATTTGCGAGATACTTAAAAAGAGTTTGAAGTATTGAAATATGTATGCTATTAAATTTTTTGTGGCGCTATTTAATTAAGATAGTGAAGATATCACGAATTTAAGTTTTGTGTAACATCATGAAATCTAGCTAATAAAAATGCGTACACTTGTGTCAAACAATTACGTAATTCAGAATAATAATATCTAATAGATTTTGCAATTTATTTTTATATAACATTTCGTTAAAATTATTTTTTTAATGGAAAATGAAAGTAATCGGCAAAGTGATCGGCAAAGTGATAATATAGAAAGCATGCTATGTTGTTATTAAGTCAATAATGTGTGCTCTTTGAGCAGTCTCTGACGAAAAATGGAGATGAAGATGAATATAAAATGCTTTGGAAGAAATCTAAAGATGTATAAATGCAAATAATATAATATCATTTTTATTTTCAATAGTATAATAATAAGTTTAACAATAAAAAGTATAATTTATTATGTGATATAAACATGTTGATCAGTTCCGTGGTAAAAAAAGTTACAGAAATTGATTAGGAACCGTGGGATAAAATTAAATAAATAACTTACCAACTATATTATAAAGTAATTTTTTAAATAAAAATTTAGTTAGTTTAAATTATGTAAATTACAATATTATATAAATATGTAATAATATTATTAAATTAAGTGTTAATAAAAAAACGTGATTAATACAATTATACAATGTTTATATGTTTACATAATAATTTGAATTTACATGGACATTTGTTGACTAGTTTTTGCATGTGTATCTATGATATTGCTATTTAATACAGAAGTCATCAACTTCCAAGATTAAAAAAAAATCCTAGCAAGCTTCAACTTTTTACATTTCTCATCATCAATGCCAAGCCTTTTTTTTATATCGTCTATATTATCGAAAGGGCGTTCTTTGCGTTTAAGACGTATATTAATCCTCTCATCCTCATTGAAGCCAAGAATTACGAGTGACTCAACAGGTGCAGAATTAATATATACTTTTTCGTTCGCTATGTAAATGTAAAAGAACATTAGCAAACATTATGATCAAAAAAGGAATTCCAAATTACAAACATACCAGATGCGAATTGTGCGCGACTCGCATATGTATATCCATAAAACTTTGGAAAATTTTCCATAGACACTAATGCGCTATTTGGTTTATCATATATAGACAGGTTATTTTTTTTATCTGCATTCGTTAAGAATAATAAAACCAAATCTTTCTCAGGCAAAGCTTCGGTAGACTTATTATTATATAAGAAAGAGATTTGTTAATCAACAATTTAAAAATGTATGTGCACTTAATATGTGAAGCAGTGTTGTTACCTTGTTATGCTCTTTATCAAACAATTTTTGGTTAACGGTAACCATAGAAGTTTGAGTTGATTTTGATTGTTGAGCTACGCAAATTTCACCCGCAGACTCAGAACTTTTGTTTTTGTTGATGATAACCTTAGAAGTAATAATTGATTTTGATTGTTGAGCTACACAAATTTCACCCGCAGACTCAGAACTTTTATTAAGATACCCAAAGGCATCAAAGGGAGCCCCAGACGCATTAAGAAATACAGAACCAATATAACTCTTGATCATTTCATCCTTCAATAAATCTAGGTCAATATAACCATTTCTTATTTCCTTTATGTTTGCATATATCACTTGATTATTCTCGTAAGTTTTAGTGACTAAATTATATTAGAATGGGATTTGAGTTTGATGTGATTTTTATGATAGAAAAAATCTGCAAAACATAATACCTGGGTATCGATGTAGTAATTTATATAATTTGATATCTTTAATTTGAGGTAAGTCAACTTCAACATCTGGAAAACTAAGAGAGAAATCCGCACCCTTAAAAAGGGTCTTCAACTCAATCTTCTTATATCCTATTAAACGAAAGAGACAGAGGCGTAATGCCCAGAACTTGGTATTAAAATCTTCGAAATTCGACCAATTCATCGGCTCACCATAATTTAACATGGACTTCCAATAAGTCAACCCAGGGTCATTGGAGTTTCCAACGATTGCACATACCCACACATAGGGTAACCGAATAAGGTATTCGTTAGTTTGTTTTGTTGGAACCAGGTTCACAATTCCCATTGAACTAAGTTCCTGATATGTCATTGAACTTTTTTTGAGAGTGATCGCATCATTTTTTTGAACCGGAAAACCCAATATGGCATTAGCAAGAGGTATTGTCAACCATCGTGAGTTTAGCTGCTGAAGATATTTTTGTCCAATCCTTTCTATGATAAGTGTCATGATACCACTAATTTTCACGTTATAAACAGCTGTTTTTAGTATCTCCTCTTCTGACATCATTTCTTCTGTTTCTTGTTTTATGCGTTTTATATCTTTCTCACATTGTCCTGAAAAATATTCGTAGTAATATTCCAATGTTCTCACATGTCCTCCAACATCACTAATACTTAATCGAAAATATGGATCCAATCTGACATATTCATCATCAAACAACTTCATTTTCATACCAATTTTGATTGCATCATCATCATTAAGTAAGCGTAGTGGGAGGTGAAGTGGTTCATGCATAGAACCTGAAATATAACTATTTAAGGGTCCTTCAATCGTTCCAGCTAGAATAGGAATGAAATATATGTTTTCATGCGATGCACACATTGATGCTCCAATGGCGTGTATAAGGTTCCTACAGACCTCTTGATTTTGAACATGCAATTTATTGAACTCGTCGATGCCAAGGACCAGGACCAGAAGAGGATCAAGTGTTGTTGGATTAATTTGCACAAAGTCTTTGTAGATAATTTGAAGAGCAATGTCCAGGGTAAGTAATGAAATGTCTGGATTAGCTTGCATACAGCATGCGCGGAAGCAGAGAAAATTATAGCTTTGAGCATAATCTTTGTGTTTTGGTTGAAAGTACTTATATAGAATACGTAGTACGAGAGATGGCTGTGCTTGAATCCTTACATCGATTTCGTCAGCGATGGTTGAATTCCCATAGGTTGTATTGATGGTAATCATGTTTTTGAAATCATTATTTTGAGATTCCTCAGCTTTTTCCTTGATTAATTCTTCAACTTCGTCTAGAAATCTGCTCTTTCCAATTCCAGGTCCGCCCGCTAAGACAGGAATTGGATGATAGCTTCTGTCATCTTCCGTACGGAATTGAAATCGTCTCTCAATCCCAATTAGCCTTTGATTACCATTCCAGAGGGTTTTAATGGTGTCATCTCGTTGACAAAGTTCAAAGTTTTTGCCAAAGCTTCCAACGAGCTGAAAAAGTCAATTTTATTTTAATCAGAGGAACTAAGAAACTCATTATTAGAGAGGTGACAAAGCTGGAAAGACATACTCGCATTCGTTTTCGTTTTCGGTCCAATGTGAATTGTTGTTGTATCCACTCATAGATGGAAGAAGCATCGTTCCAGTTAGGTCCTAAAACCATTAATAAGTGAGAGATTTGTTAGAAATTTTTTTGACATTATTCCAGGCCAATAGTTTTTAGATGAAACACCTTGTTGGGAGGGACCTATTTTTAACGCGAAAAAAAGGAGATCAGACCAAACTCGATATTTTGTTACTGCAATTTCCTTGTTCGAGAGGTAAAAAATTGGGAGACACTTACCAGTGGTGGTGGTCAGACGTTGCACGATGATGTGAATGGCAGACTTGCTTTTCTTATCTTTAAAACTATCCTCGTTGAAATATTCATCAAGAAAAAGTAGAGGTTGCATCAATTTTCCTCCAAGTTTTTCTTTAATATCATTTTCGGTAGAAAATGTTTCAAGCAACTCGATGTTCTTGATGACACTATCCCGGTCAACCTTCCAAAGATTCAGATTGTCAGGAGAATAACTAAATCCTTTTTTAGACAAGATAAGAGACTTGACATCTGAAACTGTAATGTCTTCATATTTGATCGTGCAATTGTCAACGATAATTTTATCACTAATTTTAACTTGAATAGCTCGGGTAGGAGCTTCTTTCAGAAATAGACAATTTAAGGAGAATATCATTTTGTTCTGCAAAATTATAAATGATATTTTTTTTTAAAAAGAAGTTTAGAGAAATTTGAGAAAAAAGAGAAGAAAAAAAAAAGGTATATATACTTCTGAATACATCGTGATTAATTATTATAAAATGATCTTTATAAACTCTTAATTGGTGACACGAAATATGATATAATGACATATAATCGATATAAGCAAAAAAAAAGTTTATAAAATTAACTTGTCGGCAAGCGAAAAAGAGTGATTCAACTGATTCATTACGATTTTATCGTTACTCAGATTGCATTCACGAGGTATTTATTAATTCTTCGGTTGTACAACAACAATTAGTAGCCAATAAAATTAATTTTAAATTATGTCATAACGACAACTAAATTAAATCTGGTGTAATTAAGGCGTTTTCTCTGTACAACTTTTTTTTTCTTATTTCCGACCCCCAAGCCGTCATGCTATTTTCTCCGAGCATGAACCTATCGCAGTTTAAGAAGTGTTGACGAAAAAATTATTAAGTCCAGACGAGACACTTCACAATTAAGGTATGAATGAAATATATTTTTTTGGCTGTGACTGTGCATTTGCAAGGGAGTGATTCATAGCTTGTAAAGCTAATCTCAGAAATTTCGAGGACCTTACTAGGTGGGGAACATACTTTCGGGAGTTTTAAAAAAATTTCATTTTGCAAATCTATATAAAATGTAAATCTATATAAAATTACATTTTATAAGATTGCAAAAATACTATAATATATAAACCTTTGTGGGCCTTGTAAATTTATGTAAATCTGATATTATATATAGATAAATATCTATAAAAAAAAGAATTTCAAAAAAATATATTCTATTAATTTACAATTAAATTTATATAAAGTTTATATTTTAAAAAGTTTTTTAATTTGTTTATAATGATAAAGGGAATTGGAATTTTTAGTATTAAAACTTAATATAATTATAAAAAAATCCTAAAAAAAAAATTCTATATAATTACTTTTTCTATATAAATTTAATATAACCATGCATTTCATGTATTTTTTAGAATTTTATTATGAAAATGTTATTTATAATTTGAAAGGAATTGATGGTTTAGAAATATTTACTATTTCTCCTTATTTTTGAAAGATTTGTTAACTTTGAAACTTGTAAAATTATTAATTATACCATTAAATAAATTATATATTACATATAGGATTTTTAAATGCAAATTAAAACTTCTAAATTTAGAAAATTTTTTACATAAAGATAAAATTTTATATCCTAGAATACTCTATTGATGTATATAACTTACAGTATATATATATATTTATTAATAGAGATAATATACAAAACATTCGTTTAAATTTATAATGAACAAATTAAGAACAATAACAAAGAATTCATTTTATTGTTAAAAGCGTTGTACATGTGTAATAAAATTAAGACTTCCCGCTCAGCGGATAAACCAATTTCGGACGATATGGTGTCAAATTTCTTTTTGTTTCATATCTAGGTTTAATATATTATTATTATTATAAGCATAATTTTTGAAACAACGGTCTTTTCTCATGCATTTTTTTTAGATTTACATATCCTAATATAATTACCCTCCTTTCCTACCTGAACATACATGATACACCTTTGGGTATTAAAGATAAATTACAGACAATAATTCAAAATATAATTGCTTCAGATGATAGTGCAACTCCACGTTCAATTATAGCAGGCAAGTATTCTTTTAAATACTTATTATTGTTGTAATTTTGTAATTAATATTGTAATTTTTTAAAAAAATAGGAAATAGTGTTAAAGCAACATTTGATAAAGATATATTATCAGAAGTACATGTCTCTTTAAATAATGTAGACAAATTAAGATCACTTGTTGCTAAATGTTATCAAAAAATGCATCCATATGGTCAGGGTAATTTAGGCTTATTATATAGTATACAATGCAAAAAATTTGACATGTATAACTATATGTGTTGTATAGGTAAATTTTATTTAACTTTTTGCATTATATATTAACATAATAATATGCCAATATAATAAACTTTTAATTTATGTTACACAGAACATTTTGAAAATGGTGTAAATGGTCAAATATCAAGTATGAAAAGATGATAAAATTCAATCACTAAATGTAATTGCCAAATATTAAGAACGAACAAATTAATTATGAATTGACGTAGATGGATAAATAATTAGCTGAAAAGGATAAACATTTAGGAAGAGTAATAATTTACATAATGTAATATTTATCGAATGATTGACAAACAACCAATAGAATAATTAGAGTCGATCAATTGCGGCTTAGCAATCTTTAACAATAAGAACAATTAGAAAGAATAATTATAAGCCACAAAAGATAGATTATAAGCAAAACACATAAAGCGAATTGAAAAAACATATAAAATAATGTCAGAAAGATTAAAGAACATAAAATAATATAAAAGATAATATAAAAAGATAGTATAAAGATGGAATATAAAAGATAACATATTAAAAAGAACATATATAAAAGATAGCATATTAAAAGATAGCGTATTTAAAATATAGATAGCATATTAGAAAGATAGTTCAAAGATAATATGTAAAAAGAACATAAAAAATAGTATATAGATAGAATAGAAAGTAGCATAAAATTTGTATAAATAGAGAGCGGAATTCAAAGTAATTCCATAATTCTCATCCACAGAACTCAATAAAAATATAAGTTTTATTTAATTATTTGTTAGTAAAGTTTAATATTAATTAAAGGTAATAGGTTCGCCCTAAACTTTAATTAATGTTTGTTTAATTAATAATTTTAATTAAATAAAATGGAAATTTAAGATGAATTAAATATACACTTTTGAAAAGTAATAATTCGTAGCGAGAGCTATTGGAGTTTGAAATGGAAGGTAAAGTGGATATAATTTGGGGAAAATTTAGAGAAGTTAAATTTTATTTTATATCGTTCAACGTTTTATATTACTAACGTTATTTATGTTGTGAACCAAGAATGTTGTTGTATATTATTGTTGTATGTTGTTCGTTAATCATGTTGTCTATTAATTTGTTTATTCGTTTATTTGTTCGTTCGTTCATCTATTCGTTCGTTCGACCATGAGAATGCCCATTCGATGTGGCAACTCTGTAAATTGATAACAGAGGGAATTGGAGGATCTCAACGGTTAAACACTAATTATATGTATGCTTGATTTACAAGCCAAAGAATTACAAAAATTAAAATTTTTTCAGATTGATTTAACCTTTAAAAGAGTTCATGGGGATATAAATGAGTTCGAAATTAATTCCTATGACAATACACATAAATTAAGTAAGTAATTTTAGAATTGCATCTCACTTTTTTTTACAAAAATTAACTATTTTTTAGTTCTTTCTTATTGCCGCATCTATACAAATATTTTTACAGCTGAAGCATACCAACGCTTATTTAGTAGACTTTTTGAAGTAGTAGAAAACTTGAGTAGAATTGCTATAAAGTTTTTAGAGTTTGGAATCGATTAAGGTTAATCGATTAATTAATCGACTAAAATGGTTAATCGATTAAGGTGTCTCAAAAATCGGTTAATCGATTAAAATTATCAACCCATAATTCTGGTCAAATTATCTAATGCGGCCCAGATCTGTGAATTTTTGGTCACGTGTTCTCCGAACTTAGAAGAATTTGTATTAATTTTTTAATGATAATAATAATAAATAAGACTTTCCTATAACTAAATGTATGATCAAAAACAATTTGGTGCAATCTGCGGTCAAAAAAAAAAAATTTTTAATATTTTAATATTAATTGATTATTAATCGATTAGGGCTCTTGGTTAATCGATTATTAATCGATTAAGGTTTTTTTGGTCAGTTCCAACCTCTAAAAGTTTTATCATATTGATGGTACAAGCTGGGAGTGTATTCTTGGAGATCTTAATGCAGCCCAGACAAAAGGTTTAGGATTGGCATTAACAAAAAGAGATCCTAGTAAAAATTGGGAGATGCACTTAACTCACATTTTTAAATCATGCTTGATGCACTTTAAGTGGTAAATAATTTTTAAATTATGAAATTTGATAATAATGTTAAAATCTCTAATAAAAATATTTTCCTTTATCTAGTAATTTGGTAGCTAAGAAATTTAATAATGAAGTTTATTCATTGGCAGTATCAATTCCATCTAAATCTAGCGCTAATGAAGTTCATAAAATTTTTGAAAAATTAGAAACTTATAATGATCAGCGTGTAATGGGTATGGTCCAGTGCGAAAAGATTTGTACCTCACCAAAAAAGGGATGGATTTACGCCAATAAAAATATCGTACGACTTAAATAAGGTGGGCTGATATTCAAGAATTTGTTAGAACATATCCAAACACACATTCTCTCAAAAATTTTTTTCCATACCATGTATTCTCATTTCCTAAAACGAAATGGTGCACCATTAACAAATAAAGAAAAATCAATGATAATTAACATTCACAACTATCTTTTGGGGGATAGCTCTACAAGTAATGATCATCATAAGCTAACATTACGCAAGCATATTGCTGAGATATTGGGTGTAGCTGAGGGTACAGTTGGAAGTGTGGTGTCGGACTGGTAAAACCGCAGTGATGATACTTTTACACCACATAAAGTCCTCAGAAGACCTAAATTTCAACCAGATGAAAATGTTTCAGAACTTTTGCATACAAAAATTTTGGATGCCAACAAAAAGGCTGAGCAACTTTCCACAGTTATCCTACGACAGTATATTCTAGAACAAGGATATAATTTTTCTAAATGGAAGCTTCTTCGAGTATTACATCGCTTGGATTATTATTTTGGCCAGGGAGAAAATAGAAACATTCTCCATGAGTCACCAAATAATATTGCATACCGTTGCCATTATCTTCGATTTCGTTTTGCTAATTTAGAAGGAAAAAATGATGTTCCACATCATCCAGAAGTCTTTCTTGATGAGTCTTACTGTCATTTACATCATACTTCACGCAATACATGGGTTCCCCATCAAGGTGTTGTTTTAGCACCTGGACATGGTCCATTAATAGTAATTTTTGGAGCAATTATTGTATTCAGAAATGGATCTTCCAACAAACTACATGGTGAACTTGTTCACAACTCTATTCACATTTGGGACCCAACAATTAAACCTCCTGGAAAAAGGGGACAAAAAAGAAACAATGCTGATGAATGGGATAACATTCCCGATGTTGTCAAAGATGCAAATATTATGCCAAATCAAGTAGATTATCATGGAAATTTTAATGCAGAAATTTTTGAAGACCTTTTTTCAACTCTTTGTAAAGCACTTTATGAAAAATATGGAACTGTAAATATTCATATGGATGGAGCAAGTTATCATAAACGGCGGGTTGAAAATATTCCAACTTCAAATACAAAAAAGCAGGAAATAATTGATTGGCTAAATGCTCACAATATTGTTTTTTCTGATGAATTAAGAAGACCAGAACTTTTGGAGCTGGTTCAAATGAACAAAGAAAAGGTGACATTTGCTTGTGTTAAAATTGCAAAACAGTATGAACATGAAGTTTCATTTACCCCTCCATATCATTGTGAACTTCAGCCAATTGAAGGTATTTGGTCAGTTGTGAAGGGTGAAGTTGCACATTCAGGCCCACATCCAAACCTTTTATCTGTTCAAAATACACTTTTAAATGCTTTTAAAAAAAAAATTACATCACAGGTAATCATTGGGTTCTGGAGAAGAGCACTTAAAAATGCTAAGGAATACTTAGAATTTGACGATAACGCACAATTAATGGATGAAGATTTTGACGAATATGATAATTCTGATGAAGATTGCATTATTTAATCTAATATTCATATTTTGATTTTCCCAACATGTTATTGATAAAATTAAATAAATAAAAAAAATTTACATAATAAAAAATTTTTTTTTCGGTCCTCTGTTTGAGGTACAAATCTTTTTGCACCGGACCATAATTATTTTTTAATTAATATAATATTAATTTTATTTATTTATACATAGTAATTTAATTGGATTTGTTTTATAGATTGGATCCAATACTATCAACAAACTTATGTATTAGCATCTTTAAATAAACACATCTCAAATATGGAAAATGAAATTTGGGAAAATTATGGAAATAATACAAATACAGCTGAGGCTGTACATGCACAAGCTAATAGAGAAGGAAAACAACTCAAACTAATTACAGCAATTATGAGGTATTTGATTATATTTTGCATATTTATTAATTTTATTATTAAAATTATTGTCTATTTTTAGATGTAGACGGTTAGATGAAAGACTATTTAAAGTTGCAAAAGTTCATAATAGATTTGGTGTACCTTACACTAGAAGGGATAAAAGTGAAATTAAACGAAAATCAATCACTATTTCACGAAAAAGTAGGTAATTAATATATAAGCAATATATAATATTATAAATTTTAATAATGTTTATCACCTGAAAAGAAAAAGAAGCTAAAAAAGAAACAAGTAAATTAATTAACTTACTATATAATGATATTTCTTATAATTACTTTAATTTAATAATAGAAAAAACAGTAATGAGTGAAATAACTAACCAAGAAAAACCAAGAATAAAAAGAAAGTCAACAATTGATGATAATGTAGTAAGAAGAAAAAAAAATAAAATTAACGATGGTGATCAAGAAAATTCATTTGAGATTGATAGACAGCATACAATTTTGCAAATAGAAATTGAAGAACGAAAAATGCAATTAGCTGAAAGGCAAACAGCAAATCGTAGAGCTTTAGCAGAAGTTGAAAAACTTGAATTAGAAAATATAAAGTTACGCAAAGAATTAGAAAATTAATTTTTTTTTATTTTGATTTAATAAATAAAATTGTTATATCATGTTTATTTTAAGATACTATTTGTTATGATCATGTATTGATTGTCATGTATTATTATTTTTTGTACGCTAAAAATTCATACATGTATGGTTTATTGCAAGTCTGTATGGATTTGCATATATAGATTGAAAACCATACTGCGTAAACCATACTGCGTAAAACCATACATACCATACAGTACATAAGGACTCCGAATAATACTGATATAACTCACAAACGGGTTTGCGTAGAGTTTATATGAAATTACTTTTTAAACCCATAAATTGAGTTTGCGTAGATCGGTCAATTTTGGAATAACTCACATATCACGTTTGCGTAGAGTTTATAAATATATTGCATTATATGTTGCGCAACACCATTAAGGATGGGTCCGTAATATATTTCTGAAATTTGCAATATTACGGATATGGTAAATAATTATATATAGTAACAAAAAGTAATGCATTTCGCATTATTTTAATATTTTTTTAATAGAAAAAAAGTGCGAAATGCGCTAGTTTAACAAAAAAATGGTGGATTTCGCACCATTTTATTAACATTTTAATAGAAAAAAGTGCGAAACGCACCATTTTAATAAATAATTGGTGAGTTTCGCACCATTTAATTAATATTTTGATATAAAAAAGTGCGAAA